CCCCAAGTCAATGACTGCCTAAATCTGTAGTCATTTCCAACCCTCTCTTAGAATCACAAACCAGAAGCCAAAAAGTCATGGCTGGAATTCTAGATGTTTTATTTCTGAAATAAATCTTAGTAAAGTCACTAACTCCTGTCTAACTTTTCTAGTCACCTAGACACCAGACACCAGAATAGAGTCACAGCAGTAACAAATTCTACAATTTAAGCATCCTCAAGAAAAATTCCCTTATGAAATCAACATAGAATAATTACTGAGGGTCTAAATGTGGTCCTCAAAGGGCCTCAGCTGTATGATAGTTACAGTAAAAACTATTTTCTTTCATTCTCAAAATGGGTACAGAGGAAAAATGGCACAGAACAATTTTCTAACACAAGCTAGCCTGGTGCTGATGCTCATTTTTAAAAAATAATTTAGTGGGTGAGATAACTGTCCATGTAAAAACATTCAACAGACTATTCTTGTTTATGAATGAAACTGGAGATCAATACTTCTTTGAGCAGATAATAATTAATTTGGAAATTTCCATTTTGAATAGTAATCATGTCAGGAATATAGATCTTACTTTAACGGTATAATCAAACTACATGTTTTATTCACCACAGATCAGTATGGGATTCAGAAAGTACTGCCTGTTCTTATATCAGTAATTACATTAAAATACATAACAATTGACTACATGTCACTCACATATGGTGAAGGCTTTTAAAGGAAACCTATATTTCCGATTATTTAACATAAAAAAAATAGAAAGACAAGAAAAAATATCAAAAGATATAATAGTCCAAGTTCCATTAATACACTTATCAAATGTGGTCTTATTAAAGCGAGTTCCACACACTCTTTATTTGTGTATTGGTTCAGTCAATGGGAATAAGTTGACCTGATTTTGCAGTTTATGGTCAAATAATTATACTCTGGAGGCTTCATGAATGTACCTCCACCATAATTTCAGTGGTACAATCTTTCTGGATCCCTAACTTAACAAAAGGTCATATTCAAAGTAAAGGGCAGTTAAGGGCTTACTCTCACCACCTGTATTTGTTACTGCTCCAAAGATGATTAAGGTAGAGGAAATGGAAAAACACAATGTTTTATTCACACATAGAATGGGCATAAAAATCTTTATTATCTTTATGAAAAACAAAGAATTACTTAAATTTAAAGTAATTCTGGGCTGGGGTTATAGCTCAGTGGTAAAATGTACGCTTGGCATGGGGAAAGACCTGGGTTCCATACCCAGTGCCCAAAATAAACAAAATAAGACAGAATAACAACTATAGTAATGTAGACAATGCATCTAGGATTGAATGGCTCTGTTTTGTCTTCCACAATGTCAGAGTCTCATAATTATCTTAAAGAGAAATCTGCAAAGACTAGTCATTTTAAAAGGTGGAACAAAAAAGAAAAGCATGAAGTACAACAGTAGTTTTTTAATGAAAATGTATTTCAACTTAAGTCGCTTTCGTGGATAAATCTTCTTCTTAGCAAAATTGCATGTCAAAAAGCACTGGCCTAAGGATAAGCAAGGAACTCAGACTGGAAGTAAAGAAATAAAACCCTCACATCTACCCTCAGCCAATTGTTTCTAAATGATACCATGATAAACACTGGATAAAAAATAGTTCTTTTAGCAAATAGTGTGGAGATACATGAGAAAAAATAAAACAAACATAGTGGGGAACTTCTCACCATAAATATTTACAACCAGTCTTTTTTTTTTAAGATTCTTTTTTTTTTTTTTTTTTCGGTTTTTTTGAAGCGGGGTTCCCCTGTAGCCCCAGCTGTCCTGGAACTCACTATGTAGACCAGGCTGGCCTTGAACTCACAGAGATCCACCTGCCTCTGCCTCCCAAGTTGCTGGGTTACAGGTGTGCACCACCACGCCGGCTAAGATTCATTTTATTTTTATATGTTTTTGTGTTTCTATGTAGGTATGTGCATACATGTACAGGTGCCTAAGGAGGCCAGGAAAGTGTGTTGGATCCCCTGGAGCTAGAGTTACAGGCAGTTGTGAGCCATCAGACATGGGTGGTATGAACCTCCTATCTTCTGCAAAAGCAGAAAGTGTTCTTAATCACTGAGTCATCTCTCCAGCCCCCGTTTTCTGTTTTTTAAAATAACTGCCCAAACTTGAAAGTAGTCAAGAACATGAAGTGAATGGATGAAGAAACTGTGGAACAACCATACAGTAGGGTATTGTACAGTACTGTGAAGAAAGGAGCTATCGAGCCATGAGAAGATACAGAAGAACCTTAAATGAGCACTGCTAAGTAAAAAGGGCAAATCTGAAAAGGCTCCGTGCTGCATGACTCTAGCTTTATGACTGGCTGGGTAAAATCAAACTGTGGAGATGATGAAATGACCAGGGATTTGTGAAGGAAGGGAGGATGAGCAAACAGAACACCAAAGACTCTAAAAGCAGTGAGATCATTTTGAATGATATAATGGCTACATGTCTACATATACTGTCAAAGGCCAAGGAATATACCACCCACCCACCCACACACACACACATGACAAATAAGACTCTACAACCCAAGAGTGAAGCTAATATAAATTATATACTTCAGTGGATTATATCAATATTGGCATTCACAAACATGTTACACTAATGTGAGACATTGATAACAGGAGAAATTAGCAGGGATAGTTATATGGAGATTGTATTTTCTGCCCAATTCTTTTACAACCTAAAGAAATCTACTAATTTTAAAATAAGCAAGTAATGTTAACTGTAAAAAAATTAAGTAATAAAGTCTAATATTCACTCAACTAGGAAGGGGAAAGCTTCAAAACTTGAAAATTGCTAGAACAGAAAGTATTAAATGAGGCTTTGGTACAAATGGTACAAACGCAGGAGCAGCAGCAGCTCTTCCTGTGCTGTGAAACCTGGGCTGCTTTCTGGTAACCTCTCATTTGGCTGCTCCAAGGCAATTGTATTTACAGTAAATAAGACACTACCACCAGCAGCAGGAATTATCTTCCTTATCAGCAATTTGCTCTAAGTATAGGCTCTGGAAAGCCTTCCCTTTCTTTTAAGGCTCAAAAAAGCAAGTAATTAAGTTAACTAAATTTTCAAAAATGTTTCTGAACACTAAATCCCAATTCTCTCTGTTAACAGCCCCCCTCTGCCAGTTTTTCTACCACCCAGAACTGGAGTTCTAGCCTTGCTTCTATAGAACCTGTTCATACTTCCACACTGCCTGTCAGCTATGTACTGGGCCTGTCCTCTACACCTGACCCTCTGAAGACAGGGACTATACCAGTCATTTTACACTGATAGCCCCCCTATCTGGAAGCGACTGCCATAAGCATATTTTAGATGTGCCAGTCACCTAACCCACTAGCTAATCGGTCAGGAAAGTAAAATGAGAGATGCTCTTTTGGTGCTAAACTGGAGACCAAAGTTGAATATGAAAGGATATTTATGTATGTGTTAGAACATATATATGTCTATGTCTATCTACGCATTTGTATTTTGGTATATGTGATACATATATACATACACATACATATAAATGTTCTGTATATATGATATATACACATATACATATAAATGTGTGTACACATTTGTATATATATGCATATAGTACACATGTGTATATATGTGGATGTATATCTATGAATATATTTACATGTGTGTATTAAGTATGTCTGTGGATATACGTGTATGTGTGTGTGTGTTTATGTATGTGTATGTGTTGTGTCCCTTTCTCAACTCCCCCCCATCTCTCTGTTCTCATTTCTTCTATGTTGACTTAATTCTCATCAAGTCCTTCCCTATATAATAACAAAAGTTGCCGCTATCAGCTCCAGCTTAACAAACTCACAAAAAGAAAAAAGTTCCTTTCAATAGTTTCAATGACAGTATTGGAGCCCCTCCAAATACTCACCATTGTGACCTATTGTGTCCAAGACTAGACAGGCCTATGTTACATGCCCAAGACTGAGTCAGTAGGTTCCCTCCTCCATAGGCTAAAAATGAGGCCAGGGTAACTGCCCAGTGGCAATCTGGGTGACTTAGAAAGGGGGGAACGGATGTTGGGCAAATGGGGACAAATCTGTTCTCAGACTTGCTGCTGTTCCTTCCTAATGAGTACCTGCTCACTGCTTAGTGTTTCTGCTGAGTTTCCCACTACAGAGCCATGTGCAATTGTCTACAGACCTGTCCTTGTACATACACTTCCTCTGAATGAATTCTCTTCCGCATTACTGCCACACACCGGACTGTTTATGTTGTTTTATCCTCCTGATACAGAGAATTATGCATTTATTTAGATGTCTATTGTTTGGGGGTCATTTCCCTTCTACATGAGTATTTTTTATTTTGGTTTGGTCTCATTTTTGGAGACAGGGTCTCCCTATGGCCCCAGCTGGCCTGGAACTCAAAGTGCAGAACAGACTGGCCTGCATCTCACAGGGATCTTCTGCCTGCCTTTTCCTCCCAAGTACTGGGATTAAAGGCGTGCAACCACCAGACCCAGCCTACATGAGTATCTCAATATCAAATGCAAGTATGGCTGAATGGGTTAGTAGCTTTTACTCTGGCAGAAAAACAAGCATTAAAATTTTGCCAAGCAAACAAAGTGTGCACAGAAAGGATCCGCCCTTCTGAATGTAAACACGTATGAGTACAAGTCTTTGAAAGAACCAGTTCTATACCACCAATGAAGACACAGCTCTCTCGCCACAATAAAGCAAGATCACAGAGGTGTTTACTGGTGGCTTCTGGTTGTAGCTTCTTCCATATTTGTATTGAAGAGCCTCCTCTCTTCTGTGAGAGGAGAGGAACATGAAAGAGGATAGATGGGACAGCAGACAGAAAAGGGAGGAAACACAACAAAACTGAGAGAGCACATCTCAACTGACATGAAGCCAGAAACCACTCAAAAAACTGGAGATGTTTCTTTGCTGTGGGCTTGAAACACTTAGGAAAAAGAACAGAATACCTTTCACAACCGGACCCACTTTCTCCAGTGTCTTCTAACACCAACCTGAGCTCGTTCAAGCTATTGTTGGTCTCGGCTTTTCACAGGAGCTTTCTTTTATGGATTTTCCATCCAGCAAAGGTTTCTGTTCCGTAGCTGGGGAGATCCGACCACAGCATGCTTGGCTGGAAATCACAGCAGCTCACACAGCAGTTCCAACCTAAAGGGGCAAAGGCAAGAAGCCACTGTTAAGGACTGATGTTCAAGCTCACACTCTCAATATCTCAATGTCTCTCTCTTTCTCTCTCAATCTCTCCCTCCTTGAAACCCAATCAATGCCTTCCAAAGGTTTAAAATCATTAATAAACATAAATGGAGCTTCTAAGTACTCTAAAGACAAGCTGAGCCTGTTGTAAGGAGAGGACCAAAGTGTTTAATTATCATTGAAAAGGTTTCCTGAACAGTGATACTCTGTGGAAAATTTTAAAACCAGATGTTTTAATTAACCATAGAAAACACAAGCTACAACTAAAATTTCATGAACACATTGATCTGCCCCATGGAAAACCACAGGAATGTTCTGGCAAGGCAGGGTCTGAATTCTTGGGACACAGAGGCCTGGAGTCATTCCCCCTAGGAACTCAAACAGAAAATTAACTTGCTCAATATGTTTCAAACAGTAAAATGAAACCCAGATTTAATCTCAATCAAATATGAAAACATTTCAGGACTTCAAAGGACATCACCAAAGACACCACAGTAAGGGCCATAAAAAAGGTTTCAAGTAGTTTAGGAATTAGAATGTATTTGCAATGCAATGTGAATGGTACAAGAGAAAATTTTATAGGCTGAATAACAAGGGTGAAACTAATCATCATTCATTTCCTAATAGGGGAAATCATGTACAAAACCAATCATCAACAAATAGTCATCAGTATTATTAAATGCAATACTGTATCTCCACAAAAGCAACCCCTTAGCATCCTACCACCATGAAGCCTGGCCCATACCTGTCACCAACCATACTTTGACTTCAAGAATCAGAACTTTCAGAAAAACAAAGTTAAAATAACTGGTGCTCACTGACTTGGGAGTTAACAATTTTGGCTCCAAAAGAGCAAACAACAGAAGCTTCTGCAAGAAATTCTTGACCAGTGAGACCTAGTAGATTAAGGAGTCTTCACTTGCACTAATACTTATTACAACACTATGTGTGCTAAATATTGAAAGTGTACTGAAGGGGGAACAGGATCATTGGAATTTTTTTCCCAGATACTAGTCTACAATTCTACTTCTGTAAGTCAAATAATATCCCATCACAAGTGTGCCAAAAATAATGTATTAATTTCTCCCTTTACTTGAAACTCTGGTCCCAAAAATCATCTCAAAAGGAAGACAGGAAGCAAGACAGCAAATTATATATGTATGGAATGCTCCCAATTTTGTCTGAGTATACCATCTAAAAACAACAAAGTATGAGTAATGTCATCTCTGGAAACTATACATATATTCCTTTTTGATATTTTCCAAATTTTCTACAGCTAACATATTGTTTGCACAATTAGAATTTTGAGGGAGCTTATTAAAAGAGTATGAAGATACAGGGCTGGAGAGATGGCTCGGCAGTTAGAGCACTGGTTGCTCTTGCAGAGAACCCAGACTTAGTTCCCAGCACGCACAAGGTAGCTAACAATTGTTCACAACTCCAGTTCCAGGGATCCAATGCCCTCTTCTGACTTCCATGGGCTCTGCAAGAGATGGGTACATTTACATGCACTCATACACATAAAAGAAAAATAAAAAATAATTTTAAGAATATGAGACTACAAAGAATAAAACATCTATCCTTTATTAGCTGTAGTTATAGATTGCCTTTTATCTGAAGAATGGGGGCTAAATATTCATTTGCCTGAACTCAATACAGATTGGTCTTCCCTGATCCATAAAGCCAACATGTTCCAAAAACGGAAATGTTTTAAGTGCCGACATGGTACCATGAGTAGAAAATTCCACACTATGAAATTCTGTTTCATGTACAAAATTATTTAAAATATTGCATAGATTTCCCTCCAGAGTACATGTATAAGATATACATGAAATACAGATAAGTTTTGTGTTTAGACTTGGGTCCCATCCCCAAGACATCTCATTATGTATATGCAAATATCCTACATATTCCAAAATTATTTAAAAAAAAAAAAGAAAAGAAATCTGAAATATTCTTTGTCCCAAACATTTCACCGAAAGGGCATTTACTATGTCATACTTAACATAGAAATTCAAGCCCCATATGTCCAGTCCCACTTCAGGGTAGACAAACAGTATTTTCCTAGAAACATGAACATTTTTGTTTCTACAAACTTACCATAGATTGAAGATTCTACCCAAATTTTTCTATCAGTAGTGTGCTACATCATTGCCCATTAATTAAAAGAACCTCCTGGGAATTTTTTAATTTTATGTGTATGAGTGTTATGCCTGCATGTATGTAAGTACACCCAGGTCATGCAGTGCCTGGGGAGGACAGAAGAGGGAGTCAGACTCCCCTGGAACTGGAATTACAGGCGGTTGTTAGCCATCATGTGGGTGTTGAGATTTGAAGCCCGATCTTCTGCATTAGCAGCCAGTGCTCTTAACCTCTGAGCCATCTCTCCAGCCCCACCTGCTGGGAATTCTTAATGGCAGTGGCACAGGACTAGGGTCCTTAGCCACCCCTGATACTCTAAGCATCTCAAGAGACACAGGGCACAATGGTAGAATATTAATCCTGAAAGCCTTGGTGATCTATCACTCTCCCAAAGCCCAGAGAGGTCAAATGCCTTTTCCTCTGCCACACAGCCAGGAAGCAGGGATCTGAGTTACAATCACTTGCCTCCACTGTGACCAATGTCTCCTTCCACCACTAAGACATCTCAGTATGCACTCTCTGAAATATTGTTCATATGAATCACATACATACGTGTTAAATTCCTATCAGCAAAGCCAGAAGAACACACAGAAATTTGTTCTACCAAAACCAAAACACAGGCAGGCAGAAAAGAAGATTCAACCCCAGGCTAAAAAGGCCACAGCTCTGCCCAGAATGCACTCAACAAACAATGGCTTCACTGTGCATCAGCAGCAGGTGTCCTTAGCATAAACTGCCTGTCAAGATGAGAGCTTTCTGGTTCTAGAACTGGTCCTGTTGATAACAGCACAATCCCCCCCACCCCAGTTCAAAACAGGACAAAAGGCTTTCAACAAGATAAAACTACACCTGCATCCAGCCACCTGTAAGAGGCAGGGAAGGCACCGTGCACACCTGTTTTAGAAATAAGTGATTTATGGGACAAAGTCCTGGGCTTGTACTTCCAAAATGATTTAAACCTCAAAGGAAAGATATTAGAAGTTTGGAAAATGAAAAGTTAGTCAGTAAACATGAAAATAAAACAAAACAATCCTAGCACATCGCCCTGTACAACCTCAGAGAATGAGTACAGGTTTTCCTTTCCTTCAGAACTGTTTCTTTGAAACAGACACCCCCACCCTCTGTGTTAGCTGTCTACCTGTGAGGTCCCTGTCACTCGATCAGATGCCCAAGAGTCTCACAAAACGTGTCTAGCTGAAGAGCAAGAGACAGATGTCAGTGACCATCAGAAACACTCCCTCGTAGACCTGGATTGAGCTTCCTTCCCAGCACCCTCTCCCCACTGTGTCACAAACAACAAAAGCCTCAACTGTGAGACAGCTCATCAAAAGAGCCACACCAGGGATGATGTGGCCCAGCTTTGTCACAGTGGAGCCTGCACAATGGCTCCAGCACCAGGGATGATGTGGCCTAGCTTTGTCACAGTGGAGCCCACACAATGGCTCCCCACTGCCTTGACTGAGAAGCCAGGCACTGCATGAAAACAGTGCTTTTCTTTCTTCCTCACCCCAAACTGCTCCTAATATCCCCACCACCCATTTCCATGGCTGGATTTAAAGAGACTATAACACAAGCCATTATCTATTCCCTCAGTTCTAATACTAAAGGCTAATGTCCACAGAAAGCAACAGAAATTAGACTCTTGTTGGTATTTCACAATGAAACCAGAGCTTTGTAAGGAGTATTGTTCTAGCAATGCTTTAAAGTCATTTGTAAGAGAATTGCATTAAGTTTAACTTTAGCAGTCTGGTCAGAATTCTGACCCACCAACCATAAACTAGACAGAATCTTGAAGTCCACATTATCTTTCTCCATTGAAGACTGAATGAAAATGAAAATGACCTGGGAGATGCTGGCCTTGAAACCCTTTAATACTTGGCACTGTTGTGTGTTATTTGGTCTTTAGCTTCGACTAAATGGTTTTAGCAAAATGTACATCTAGATATTGCTACCTGTTGAAAACTTGAATGTTTGGCCTGAATTGTTTTTCCCCAGCCTGATGTCCCAGGGAAGGTTACTGTTTCTTAAGCCTGACTCCAGAAATAACCAGCAGAGATAATTCACCACTGCTGAAATTTCTATTCCAAAATGACCAGGCAAGTAAACTAGATAGCTGCAGAACACCCCTCTCATAGACATGAAAGCTTCACTTTAAGAACTTGGGTTGTGGACTGGAAAGATGGCTCAGTGGGTAAGTGCACTTACTGAGCAAGCCTCAGGACCTGACTTCAAATCCCCAGCAACCCTGTGAAAAGCCTGGCAGAGTTGTGCTCCCTGTAATCCCAATGCTGTGTGGGGCTGAGAGAATAATTGGTGGGGCTTCCTGGCCACCAGCCTAGATCCAGGCTTAGTGAACAAAAGAGCAGGTCACTCAGCCTCTTTCTCTGGCCTTCACTCACATGGGGTAGGTATGTGTACACATACCACACACTCTTATACATACACACAAAATTAATTAATTTAGGTTATAGGAATTTATAAAAATTTACATTTAAAAATATGGATGCTGGGTGTGGTGGGACACTCCTTTAATCCTAGTCCTCAAAAGGCAGAGGCCAGCCTGGTCCACATAGTGAGTTCCAGGTGGGCTGAGACTAAGGAGACCCTGTCAAAAAAAAAATTATAGGTTCCCACAATGGGTGTGATGGCACATGCCTTTGATCCCAACACTTGGAAGGGCAGAGGCAGGCAAAGCTCTGTAAGATTGAGGCCACCCTGGTCTCCATAGCAAGTTCTGGGTCAGCTATGGCTACGGGGAGACTTGTTTTTTTAAAAAAAAATAGATGATAATAGATAGATGATTGATAGATAGA